TCCAGTAGCCAGGAGGAGAAAAACAAAGGTGCCTCTGCTCATCCAACCTGAGGACACTTGATAGTGATTGGCTACCCGGACAAATGAGTGAACAGTTCTGAGCTGAAGCTTCCGTCATAGGCCTCCATTGTAGTAATGCTCAGCATTCCCACTTCTTTTCCCCATAGTTTCTGAGCTGTGTGCCCAGTGTTAGATGGCTGACTGAAGATGCACCGTCTTTTGAGTCCTGAGGTGCTGACGTGGGTATACTTTAAGCACCCACACTCACTGCCATCAAGTAGACTCCTGCTTATAACCAACTTCATAGTTCTCTGTTGACACAAACATGTATGTGAAGAGAGAGTACAGCAGGGGTACTAACAGGTACAGGACAAACGTCGCCTCATCACTAAACTGAAAAGATATGACTTACAATAAACCCACATGGTTGTACAACTATAAACTTGCATGGTTCTTGTACAGCTCTCCCATCACTTGGTAGTAAATATAAACAAGCTGCTACTATCATTAAAGCAGAATGGATTTGGAGGAGCCCGAGTGGTGTCGAGATGACGTGCTGGGCTGCTAAAGCAAGGGAGAAGGAGGAGGTTATCTACCTCCATGAAGAGTTAAGTCTTGGAAACGCAAAGAGGCAGTTCTACTCTGTCCACTAGGGTCACTGTGACTCAGGATTGATTCGATGGCCGTGAGTTTGGATTTTACACTTTTCCACAGGAGGGAAACCAGGCCATTGGAAACTGTATGTGTTGCAATAATTTTGCATGTGGTGCTAATCTCATTGAATAATCTTTTGCTTAAGGAGAAAAGCATTTGATAAATTAATGACTTTTGAGGGAAGCTGTATGGTTTCCTGCAACCCCGAGAGACCAGAAAAAAACGGTCCTATTTTGAGTTCAGTGGGAACAGTAAATGAAATGGAAGTGATAGGACCTGTGGAGAAAAGGGCCCTTTGTTCTTGGAGGCAAGTGGAGTTCTTAAAATATTAAATATAAAACCCTTCTATTGTGTGATTAAAGAGTTCAAAAGTGCATTCCTTTAAAAGGACCAAAGTTTTAAACATAGCATATTCTGTCAAAACCCCAAGACAGTCCTGCTGAGGAAGAAGGATGTGCCGCTGTAAGATGTGTTCAAGGATGTAACGAGGGACCAAAAGTGTCATAGACCTGTACCCCATCTTTCAGATTAAGCCTGGGAGTGTGTGGAAATTGTGAAGCACCAAAACCACCGAACGGAGTTTTAAGTCATGTTCAAAACTAGGTGGGAAAAAACACCCAGGAAATTATAGAGCCACTGTTTGAGAAAGATGAGGTCACATCACTCTGCCACGGAGAGCAGGCACGTCAAGTCAACTCCTGTTTGTTTCATTTTTTGCTTTTCTCATAGAACAAATAGTGAGTGGGAACCTAGTTTGTTATTGTTGATGGAACTAACTTAGTAATTATTAGTTAGAATGTGACTTTTGTAAAGCAAACTCCTTCTCTTTCACAACATTTACACAAGGAGGTGGCTAATATTTTCTGAAAGAGAAACACAGTCCTTGCCTTTTTACGGAACTTATGACCTAGTTGAGGCAGGATGGGAGGGAGGCAGCGAGTCAGGCTTACTTATAAAACTCGACAGCCCTCCTGATTTGGAGAAGGCCAGGGAAAAGGGTATGATGCATTGTATTCCCGATGAAGATATGGGGAAACCCTCTAAGGAAAGATTAGGAAAGTATTTTTATTATAGGTAGTACAGTAAATATCATAATTTATATATCTTCACTGCTTACTATATGTGAAGATTGTGTTAGGTGCTTTTTATTATTAATACTTAAGTAATTTATTTTTAATCCTAATATCTACTATTAAAAAAAAAAAGTTGCTGTTGAATCGATTTCAACTCATGATGACCCTATACCCCACATGTTTCCGAGTAGCACTACTCCATAGACTTTTTCTATGGCTGTGGTCTTTCAGAAGTGCCTCCTGGTGGATTTCAGCAGTTAGTAACCAAACACCTAACTTTTTGTGGCATCCAAGTATTCCCAATGTCTACTCTTATTTCATTTTCCTGCCAGCTCTGAAATCTTGCTCTTATTATGCCCATTTTATAAATGAGGAGCTGATGCACTGAGAGAATAGATGCCAACCAAAATGGTGTCCGCCATGTTACACATATAAATATTTGACAAATTGTGAATGAATGAGCAAGTGGCACCCACTTTTCATTATGTAGCTTGTAATTCTCAAGCCAAGATTTGAATCCTAGCTGGTCTCTCAGGCTCTACAGGAAGCATCTCTATTTGGATAAAGTGGAAACAGCTGTGGTCTAGCGGATGAAAAAGGAGCCGTGGTGGTGCTGTGGGTTAACTTTTGAGCTGGCAACCTCAAGGCCAGTGGTTCAAACCCACTGTTCTTTAGGAGAAAAAGAGGCTTTTTCCAACCTTGGAAATTCAAAGCAAGCACTTCTACTCTGTGCTACAGGGTCACTATTGGCTAGAATCGACTCTCATCACAGTGGATTAGTAGGTGCAAAGGTTTGAATAACTGAAGAATTTAAGCCAGTGTAGTTGATGAAATCTTAAGGGAGACAGAGGAGTATTAAGGTTAAGAAAAAAGTTTACAATCAGAATAGTCTAATTTAACATCATGTTTCCTTTACTTAATTATTTGACCCCCGCTCTCTTGCCATTTAACCTCTGTGTCTCTGTTTTCATATCTATCTTAATGAAATAGTGACCCTATCCTAATAGGAAGGTTGGATCAAGATGGGTAACATACCAAAGTACTTAACACAATTCTTATCACATTGTTGTTACTGTTGTTGTTAGGTACCATTGAGCAACCACATCATAGCAACCCTATGTATAACAGAACAAACATGTCCTGGTCCATCCTTACAATCTGTGTCAGGCCAGATTGACCAGGGAAACAAATCCAGAGACACTCATGTGTGTGAAAAAGAGCTTTCTTTCAAGAAGTAATTACCGGTATTAAAAAAAAAAAATCCCAGCCCAGTGTAACTGAGGACCATAAGTCGCTCTGCAGACTCGTGCAGCCACATGCAATGATGCAGACAGAGTTCAGGGAGCTCACAGGCTGATGGGTGCAGAAGCTTGTGGAACCAAGGTTGGTGGAAACATGGCAAGGCTCCAGCAGCTCTCAGGGTGACCATAAAGCAGGACGGTGAAGGCAGAGGGAGAGGTTCTCAGAGCCCTCCTTATGAGAAGGCCGTGCCCCCAAGGAGGCTCTATCAGGCTGTGGACTGATTGATATCACCCACACACTTTTGTATATCAAGCTGACATAAATCTGTCTTACTAGCATACACTTGTTATTAAGATTCAGCCCATTGTTGCAGCCACTGTGTCGCTTCATCTCGCTGAGGGCCTTCCTCCTTTTTGCTGTCCCTCCATTTTACCAAGTCCTAATAAATGGTAACTTCAAGTGTTGGCATAGTGGTTACAAGTTGGGCTGCAAACCACAAGGTTCGCAGTTTGAAACCACTAGCCATTCTTCAGGAGGAAGATGAGGCTTCCAACTCCTATAAAGAATTACAATCTTGAAAGCCTGTCACAAGGACAGTTCTACCCTGCCCTATCCATAGCTCTATGAGTCGGAATTGACTTGATGGCAGTGAGTGACTAAGTTTTGGACTGCTAACCACAAGGTTGCTAGTTCAAGCCCGCCAGTCACTCCAAGGGGAAAAGAGACCGTCTACGCATGTAGGAATTAACAGCCTAGAAACCTTATATAACTAGGGTTTCTATGAGTTGGTATCGAATTGATGGTCGTAAGTTTTGTGAAAATTATTACTAGCATTTGGATTTTTAAGAGGGGTACAAGACTCATTCATCTAGAGAAAGTTGAATCTGGCAGTAGCAGCCAGGAAGAGTTGGAAGACAAGAACAGAGGCAAGAATAATGGTAAGTTGTTGAAGCAATCTAGATACCAAATACTAGCTGAAAGTGTTGAATTATAAATGAGCAAATGGTGGAGGTGGTGATTATCAGGCAATGCAAAGGTATAATCAGAGCATAATGATAAATTTATCGAGCATTGAACATCCTTTTAGAGAATGTTATTGTTAACTTGTCATTGGTGCGTGCACACAGGTGCTTGCAACTCAGGAGTGATGATTCTAGCTCTGACTTCCTGAAAACACTGGAAAACCTTTTTATTTTCCATTCCAATCACCCCCTCTGCCAAAATAATGTCTTTTTCTTTGGGGGGAGAGTATATATGTTTTTAGAGCTCTAAACCAATTCTTTCCCCCCTTGTGTCCCAAGCCCCCAAGTAAAGGAATGCTGATTGAAACCCCGATGTCTGTTTTATTGCAGTGCAAGCAGTTAATCACTCAGTCTATAGACTTCAACAGATGGAGCAGGAACAAAGAAAGGTAAAATTCTTGGATCATAGAGCATGTAACTCTTGGTCCTTCATTATCATCATATTATTAGCAGATGCTTTCTCTGAATGGATGTCCTTTTAAAAACTTTCTTGGGATTTAGGTTAAAGGTTTACAAAGCAGATCATCCATTTTTGCATTCAACAGTTTATCCACGTTTTGTTTCCGCTGATTCGGTCAGTGCTTCTCAGGCATCCTCGGTGTTTCATAGCTTTCGCCACTTCCTCTGGTGCTTCCTGTTTCTTTTCCTCCTTCTTCCCTGACTCTCGGTCTTTGGGTAAATGCTGCCCTTTTGATCTTGAAAGGTTAATTATTTAAACCTGGGAGTGTATTCCGTTTCAGACCTGAAGGGTGACCCCCAGAGTCTTGGGGGGATTCTACTGCTCTCTATCCAACCACTAAGCCTGGTTGGTCCCTTTTATGATTTTAATTTTTGTTCCACATTTTTCTCCCACACTTTCTAGAACCTTCTCCTTTGATCTTTTTCAGAGAATTCAGTAACCTGGTACCATTTAGTTTCTCTGGTCTCATGGTGGTGAAGATTGATGTTTGTGGATTCCATTGGCCTATGGGACATTTTATTTCCGTGACTCTTTCTATTTTCATCATTCATCTTTCCTTAGGATGAGGAGAGACCAATATTGGCACCTTTTCAATGGCTGCCCTCCACTTGCAACTCACTAAAGTGTGATATAGAACATTTTGTGAACTACGTTATGCCAGTTGATATTGGTGTTCTTGAGGGTTTTTGGTGATAGGTAAGAAGATTTAATAACATTGTCCCCAAGAATGCTCCATTATATACTTGGATATTGTGTTAGGCAAGGTTCTCTAGAGAAACAAAACCAGGACACTTATGATAAATATATATATTATCATATATATCATATACATATACAGTGAGAAGGAATATAACAGCTAATTAGTCCCCAAGCAGTACAGAGGACTCAGTTCAACTCACTTTCATGGAACAGGTAATATACTGGAAGTCCTTCGACTCTTGTGGGCTGCTGGGTCCAAGGTCAAGAAAGCAGACATCTGAGTCCTCCCTCGAGCAAGGCAGTCAGAGTCTGCCCGCAGGCAGCAAACAGCAGGGTGGATAGCCAATAGTCAGTAGCTCGGGAGCTAAGGAAGCAGGCCCGGGATGGGATAACAAACTCAAGCAAAGCAAGGCGACAGGATCTACCAGCCCCAAGCTCAAGCAACACGTGCAGCAGCAGCAGCAGCAGCAGCAGGTCTCAAAGGACCCTCAAGCTCTAGCAACATGATCCATGGGTTGACTTGGCCCACAGGTAGTTCACAGGTTGAGTCAGAGAACATGCTGGTCCATCAACAGAGAGCAAGAGAGAGGGGAGCGGGCGTGCAGAGCCATTTATCTCTTTGTCCTCCAATCAAATTGCAACTTGATTAATCCCACCTGTTCCTATTGGCTAGATTGACACAATAAACCTAACTATCACACATATATTTATATCAAAAGTACATAAATATATGTAATCAAATATCCTCTATCAAGTCAATATGTACTCATGGGTACAGTACATCTGTTTCACTTTTGTGTGTTCAGGCATCTAATTGTAGATTACTGGTATTGCAGGATTGTTTATCTAACAGTTTTTACCTCATTGCCTTTACTTTTTCCAAGTCTCCCAGCATCTTCCCCTGTCTCCATTTTTTCCCTAACCTCCCTCCTGTTGTGTATTGTCTTCCCCTTCACCCTTTTGCCATGTGACTTCCCCGCCCGCCTTTGCCTTTCACTCCCAGCAACCACCCAAGAATGTTTCTTTTAGTGTGAAAGCTTTTTCTAATAGTGGTCTAAGACAATATTTATCCTTTTGGATTGACTTAGTTTATGTGATATAATGTCCTCCAGGCTCTTCCATGTTGAGGTATTTCACAGATTCATTGTTATTCTTTAAGGTTGTATAATATTCCATAGTATTTACGTTCCAAAGTTTATTCATTCTCAAATTTATTTACATTTTTCCAGTAATTTAAACATATTTTAAAATGGCTACTTTGTTTAAATTAAACAAGGAGGGCCATGTGATTATGATTTTACCACATGCTGGTCTCTTGTTACCATTCAATATCTTCATTATTTCTAATTTGTTCTTATTTTGAGCAGGCCAAGATGTGCAGTGTTTTTCACCAGCACCAATCTTTGTCAGTTCTTCTTTGATTTTCTTTTTTCATTGTCTAGCTTTCCTCTGCCTATGAAGATATTGAAAATAGCCTGGCTTGGGTCAGGAGTACCTTAGTCTTCAAAATGACACCTTTGCTTTTTAAATTTTTTTGAAGCAACTTGCCTAAATTTGATTTGATTTGACTGCTGTTTCTAAGGCACTGCTGGTGGATCCAAGTAAATTGAAATTCTTGACAACTTTAATCTTTACTCCATTTATTATGAGGTTGCTAATTGGTTTACTTGTGAAGATGTTCACTTTATTTATGTTGAATTTTAATTCATATCCTTATAATCCAACTTTTTAGACTATCTTCTCAGCATACAAATTGAATAAAAGTGGTAATAGTCTACAAGCCAGATGCGTACCTTTCCTGATTTTAAATCATGCAGTATCCCCCTATTTGAAAGACTGCCTCTTGCTCCCACATAAGCATAACTGCATGTTTTGGAATCCCTGGTCTTCTTAGTATTAGTCATAATTTGTTATGACTCACACAGTCAAATGCCTTTTTATATCCTGTTTCCCTGAAAGTAAGACATCCCCCGAAAATAAGACCTACTTACAGTTTTGCCTCTCGCTGAAATATAAGGCATCTCCCCCGAAAATAAGACCTCCATGAAAATAAGCCCTACCCCCCAAGCTACCGTAACTCTGGACTATAGCGGAGGGCACCGCTGTGCAGCTCACTGTTGTCCGTAGTGCAGCCGGAGCAGACAGGAAGTGTGAGGTCTCTTTTAATAAAACAATAAACAAGAAATGTGTACCGTATTCTTCTTCATGGAAAAATAAGACATCCCCTGAAAATAAGACCTAGCGCCTCTTTGGAAGCAAAAATTAATATAAGACACTGTCTTATTTTCGGGCAATCAGGGTAGTAAAAGAAAACATAGTTTTCGTTTTGGTATTCTCTCCTTTCAGACAAGATTCATCTGACATCAATGATATTCCTCATTCTACATCCTCTTCTGACTATGGTTTGTATTTCTGGCAGCTCCCTGTCAACACACTGCTGAAATAGATTTTGGATTATCTTCAGCAAAATTTTATTTGCATGTGATATTAATGATAAACAGTCATTTCCCCATTCTGTTGGGTCACCTTTCTTTGGACTGGGCACAAATAAGATCTCTTCCAAATTTCTTGGCATAGATAAGCGAGTGTCTCATCCATTTGTTGAAACATTGCAATCGGTGTGCCATCAATTCCTGGTTGTTTTATGCAGGTGTCTGTGTACTCTCATTTGAATGGTTGAACATCGACCAATTCTTTTTGGTACAGGTATTTTGTGTATTTTATCTTCTTTTAATGCTTCCTGTGTCATTTAATATTTTTCCCATTGAATTCGTTACTATTGTAACTTGAGATTTGACTTTTCTTATCAGTTGTTTTGGTCTGAGAAATGCCAAGCATGTTTTTCTCTTGGTTTTCTTATTCTTATTCAAATTCTTTGAATTTTTCATTATAATACTTTATTATATTTCCTTTAGCTGCATTTTGACATCTTATATTCAGCTCTTTTATTTCATTTCTTCCTTTCACTTTAGCTCTCCAGCATTCTAGAGCCTACAGAATCTCTCCTGACATCCATTTTGGTCTTTTTTCTGTTTTTTTTTTAATGATCTTTTGCTTTCTTTATGTATGATGCCCCGATGTCATCCCACAACCTTTTGTCTTTGATCATTAGTGTTCAATGCAAAAAAATATTGAGATTGGCTCTAAGGTTAAGTGACATGGACTCTGGTGGACTTGTTTTAATTTTCTTCATCTTCAACTTGGACTTTCAGGCAAGCAGTTGATGTTTTGTTTCACAGTCAACCCTTCGCTGTAATTTGGTTGGTTTCTCCATTCTTTTTCTACAGATATAGTCAATTTGATTTCTGTGTAACTATCTGGTGAGGTTCATGTGGACAGTAAGTATTTATGTTGTTGAAAATGGTATTTTCAACGAATAAAGTGTTGGTGTTGCAGAATTCTATCGTGCTGTATGTCCAATATCAATTCTATGAACAGGATTATATTTTCCAAGTACTGATCCTTTGGTTCTAACCTTCTAGTTCCTGTCATTCATAATTATGAATACATCTTGATTACCTGTTAGATAAATTTCAGACTGGAGCAGTTAGTAAAAATATTTAATCTCTTCACCTTTCTTATCAGTGGTTGGTGCATAAATTGGAACAATACTTGTGTTATTTAATCTTCTTTGTAGGTATATGCATATTATCATATTATAGCATAAAACGTAAGGATAGATCTTATAATTTTGTTTTGGGTTTTTTTGTAATTTTGTTTTTGACAATATGCTCTTCTCCTTCAATTTGTCATTCCCAGCATAGTATATCATATGATCTAGAGTGCCCAATACTAATTCACTTCAGCTCACAAATGCCAACACCTCTGAGTTAAGGAATTCTTTGCTGTCTTTCAGCAAAGTAATGATGTTAGAATGGTTGTGCTCAAGCTTCAATATTGCTGCTGGTGGGTACAGATGAAGTGGGTCCAACTCATTGTGACCCTTTGTTCAACAGATTGTGACACTGCCCTATCTGTGATGTGCTCATAATTGCTGTTTTGGGGCTCGTATTGCAATCCCTGTGTCATTCCATCTCAATTTGGGTATTCTATTTTGCTGACCCTCCTTCTTCAGGGCTTGGTGTTCTGATAACAGGTCCAAAGTATGTGAGGTGAAGTCTCACAGTTTTCTAATGCAAATTCTGGCAGCACTTTTTGAACACATTTATTCATTCTGGCTGTCCATGGTACTTTTTATTTTTAATCATTTTATTGGGGTCTCTTACAACT